ACATTTTGAATGGGAATGTTTTGCTGCTGTGACACTGTTTAAAGACGGTACTTCATTTTGAAAAGGTATTCAATCAGTATGGATTTGTTAAATAAAAAAAAGTGTAGAAAAGTATATGGTGCTCAGTGTGTTTATTTTTATATAAATTAATGTCTTAATATGCCTAAAAAGGCTTACATATATTTGAAGTGCTGGCTTTTAAAACTGGTAAATAAATAGTTATTATTACAATTAACTAAGTTTTAGAGTTACAATTTACTCTGTGTAGGATTAGTATTTTAACATCAGGAAGAGTTCAACTTTAACTCTGAAAAGGAAGTAAAAGATCAACTCCAAAAACAGAGTTATTCTAACTCAGTATTGAAGTATATTTGATGGTCACATGTGTACACTTAGATTGAGTTGATTTTGACTCATCAGGAGTTTATTCCAAAGACCTGAATTTGCTGTGTATCTATAGTGCTTTATAGTTGAGAGCTTTACTAGAGCTTAATCAACAACATAATGCCTTTTGACTGTTACTGGAAGATGTTGTAATGCTTTATTAAGGTACGTGAACGAAAAATGTATCTCCAAACAATCTAGCTACAGGTGAAACTCAAGAAATTAGAATATCATGCAAAAGTTAATTTATTTCAGTAATTCAACTTAAAAGGTGAAACTAATATATGATATAGACTCATTACATGCAAAGCGAGATATTTCAAGCCTTTATTTGTTATAATTCTGATGATTATGGCTTACAGATTATGAAAACCCCAAATTCAAAAAATTAGAATATTACATGAAATCTGTTATGGACGCGGTGCAGGCGAGCAGGAAAGCAGGCAAGCTGAGCCGGACTGACAGGCAAACAGGGTTTATTGAGTACAGACAGGGACAGGACCAGACACTATGTCGGACAACGTATATGACAGAACTCGGGAATAGAGATACAGACACCGACTAAATACACCAGACGGGTAGGAAAGAACAAGGAACAGCTGATGACAATCGGGTAGCCACACAAGGTAATGAGGGGGGCGTGGCACACACGAGGATCGGACGAGCTGGGTGTAACAAAATCAATAAAAAAAAAAAGGATTTTAAATAGAGAAATGTCGGACCTCTGAAAAGTATAATCATGTATATGTACTCAGTACTTGTTTTGGGCCCCTTTTGCATGAATTACTGTCTCAATGCGGCGTGGCATGGATGCTATCAGCCTGTGGCACTGCTGAGGTGTCATGGAAGACCAGGATGCTTCAATAGCGGCCTTCAGCTCTTTTGCATTGTTCAGTCTCACGTCTCATCTTCCTCTTGGCAATGCCCCATAGATTCTCTATGGGGTTCAGGTCAGGCGAGTTTGCTGGCCAATCAAGCACAGTAATCCCATGGTCATTGAACCAGGTTTTGGTACTTTTGGCAGTGTGGGCAGGTGCCAAGTCCTGCTGGAAAATGAAGTCAGCATCTCCATAAAGCTTGTCTGTGGAAGGAAGCATGAAGTGCTCTAAAATATCCTGGTAGACGGCTGCTTTGACTCTGGACTTAATAAACCACAGTGGACCAACACCAGTAGACGACATGGCTCCCCAAATCAACACAGACTGTGGAAACTTCACACTGGACTTCAAGCATCTTGGATTGTGTGCCTCTCCATTCTTCCTCCAGACTCTGGGACCTTGGTTTTCAAATGAGATGCAAAATTTGCTCTCATCAGAAAAGAGGACTTTGGACCACTGAGCAACAGACCAGTTAGCCCAGGTAAGATGCTTCTGACGTTGTCTCTGGTTCAGGAGCGACTTGACAAGAGGAATACGACATTTGAAGTCCATCTCCAGGATCCGTCTGTGTTTGGTGGCTCTTGATGCACTAACTCCAGCCTCAGTCCACTCCTTGTGAAGGTCCCCCACACTTTTGAATGGCCTTTTCCTGACAATCCTCTCCAGGCTGCGCTCATCCCTGCTGCTTGTGCACCTTTTTCTTCCACACTTTTCCCTTCCACTTAACTTTCTATTAATGTGCTTTGATACAGCACTTTGAGAACATCCAACTTCTTTTGCAATGACCTTTTGAGGCTTTCCCTCCTTGTGCAGGGTGTCAATGATGGTTTTCTGCACAACTGTCAGGTCTGCAGTCTTCCCCATGATTGTGAATTCTACTGAACCAGATCGAGGGACCATTTAAAGGCTAAGGGACCCTTTGCGGGTGTTTTGGATTATTTAGCTGATTAGAGTGTGACACTCTGAGCCTACAATATTGAACCTTTTCACAATATTCTAATTTTCTGAGCTTTTGAATTTGGGGTTTTCATAATCTGTAAGCCATAATCATCAAAATTATAACAAATAAAGGCTTGAAATATCTCGCTTTGCATGTAATGAGTCTAAATCATATATTAGTTTCACCTTTTAAGTTGAATTTCTGAAATAAAATAACTTTTGCACGATATTCTCATTTTTCGAGTTTCACCTGTATATCTTAGCTCTAGACAGAAAAATAACTAAGTCCATAACTCAGGGTTGCTAAGGTAAAATCTTCTTTATTAGTAAGATGATGCAAATGAGCGCAACAGAGTGTTCCGCATAACCCGAGTGCTTGCACACCACTCAAAACAAAAGCCCCCCCCCCCACAAGATCTTATTCCACATCATTGGTCACCATAAAGTATGTCCATCCTTGAATTTCCTCTTCCGACCTCCAATCTTGCTTAGACTAAGTACAAACATAATGAATACATGATTGACCTACTTTTCTATTGTTACATATTGCCTGTACTGACAGTGGTTATCCAAGTGTACCTGTGATATCCTATAATGATGGCAAGTACCTCATATTATCAGCGCAAATGATCACAAACAGAATAAGAGCAGGGTTCTCCCCTTCAAACTGCCCATGTGCTGTTCCCTGTTAGCATTCCCTCACAAGCCCAACAGATACATTCTCTCTTCCCAATTAGGACGGCTCCTTGACTGGTGCCCGGTCAGCATGTTCCACACAGTGTTTTCTCCAGCATGCTTCCTCTCACGAATTTTACCAGAACAACAATACACTCTGGCTCGAAGCCTAGGACAAAGTGTTGTTCCCACATCCCCAAATGTAACACCATCTTCTTGCCTAAGACCTAACCACAATTTCAGAATGCAAGAGCATCTCCTTGCCTAAGGCCTAACCATAATCCCAGAATGCAACAGCGTCTTCTTGCATAAGGCCTAAGACAAAACATTAACCCTATAATTCCCACTATCCCAGTTCCATTGTTTTACAGGTATCTATAATGAATTTCAGATTACAGCTTTAAGTAAAGTGATACCATTTTCTTTTCAGTGCCTCTGCTTCTCTAAACCTTAAACTTTGGGGGGAGGGAGACTAATTTTTGTTTTCCCAAGTTCAAGCAATCCATTTTCACATGGCCAGAAGTTCTACTGCAAGACAGTTTTATGTTTGATTGTTAGTTCTAGTTTGTTAGTTCTAAGAAGCTGCTTTCCTACTGCTGTAACACTTTTCCAGAACTCAAGAGATGGATCAAGCTTGAGCTCCATATGTAGAGTCACTAAAATTGACAGACCCGCAGAATGTGTATTTAAATACCTTTATTATCTTTCTCTGTTTTAAAGTGTTAAATTTACTTAATCTGATTGTGATAGTGATTGTCAATGAATGATCAACTTGCTTCATGATTATTAAAAAGGCGCGTATGTCTGTATGTGTTTGTGTGTGTATTTAATGCATGCATTCATACACAGTGGGTGTCTCCCAGCAAGAAATGCTCTGTATACAGTTAAACTCCCCACCAGGATAATTACACCATCATCCTCCTTGACAGACACACTATTATAAGGCGACTTCAACAAGCTCCCTTCTTCACATTTTCCTTTATGTACTAGTACTGGTCAGTAAGGCAGTTCAGATTAGGTACCATACTCTATGGCAGGGGTGCCCAACTCCAGTCCTGGAGGGCCAGAGCCCTGAGCTCAGTTCTTTCCCTGATTCACCATAAATGATTCAGCTCAAGAGCTGTGCGGTAATTAGCATGAGGAGTTGAATCAGGTGTGTTAAATGAGGGGAAACCCAAAAATGTGCAGGGCTCTGGCCCTCCAGGACAGGACTTGGGCACCCCTGGACTACAGCGTCACTCTAGTGATCTCCACTGGGACTCAATACTAGTTCTTTAAATCTCTTTACCATGTCTGCTGCCAATAATTATTAGTCAGTGAGCCAGCAATTCAGATGGGTGAGCAATCTGCCATGCAATTATAAAAGACAAATCCAAACTGTGTATAATTGATGAAGACTGATTAAAATCATATGTGCACAATATTTAGTAGTATTAATCCATGCTTCTTGTGTCATGTCTGTTTCTTCACTTGTATTTCTTCAATGTTGCTTCCACCTTGGTGACCGCCTGCTCATTTTCCTGGCATTGCAGCAGCCCTGTAGTTTCATGGTAGGCGCAGTGGACGACTTGAACTATGTTGCCCCTGGATGGTTGCACTGTGATGTTGGTCATGTGACTGGGGCTGTGACAGTGGTGCATGAACACCAGGATGACAGGTTTGTCTTCTGTGGAAGTAAGAAACCAAACAGGTTACTGTGGGCACTGACAGATGCTGTTGCTTCCCCTCATGGTTTTTTACATCTTAAATAAGGTGAGAACAAAGAAAAGCTGTGAGGTTTCCTTCATAGGATTGACTGTTGGCTCCTCATAAACCTGTAGAGTACAAGTGGTCAGTGTCAGGCATGGGGTTGGTAGACAGGGGACAAGGGGGAGACGTAAGGTTTCCTTCTTTGATTGGTTGTGATTTTTTTCCCTTTGTTTTTGTAATTTGCATGCTGTGCTGTGTTTTTGGGTTTTTGTATTAGATGAGACTAAAATTTGAGAAACTTCATTAGGTGCAAGTAGTTTTTCCTCATAAGAAGGATGATATCAAGACAGAGTCAGCATTTGCACATCAAATTATGACATATCTGGGAAGCCCTGCATATCCTGAAAATAAAAACATACAGCATGTGTGGCTAACTCATGTACATACAGTGTAATAAGCCTAAAATCAAAAGGATAGAAAAACGCTCAAAAATGGTTTGGGTTGAAAGGGTTTACAGGACAACTTCTGATAGGCAGCTTCTGTTAAATAAATCACAACTTCCTCTGTGAAGAGATGAACT